AAAGGATCATAATACACAACTGCCATGTAGGGAACCAGGAGCATACAAGAGTGGGAATATTAGGGTAAAATTTAGCTTTGTATTTCCAAGTTAAGGGTCAGGGCCTGACTTCAGTAACACAAGCATTCATCCCTTCACATGGTTCTTAAATAGAGCAAAAGGCCCTCTGAACTTTACCCACAGCTAGTTTGGGTTTTTTTAAATAGTCAAATACTCAAAACAGAATTCAGAAATGTTGATGATTGCTATTATGTTATTATTTCTGCAATGGCGGTAACCTCTGCATCCCCTGCATCCCAAGAAATTTGTGAGCCAAATAAGCTAGATGCCCTCTGTGTATGTGTATGTACATAGGTTTGTGTAGTGTATGTGTGTGCGCACATGCACACGTATATATATAGATATAGATATAGTTTTAGATATAGATATATAGATATAGATACATAGACATGGTGGTTGCATGTTTATATATATACTAGCTAATTGCCCATCAAGAATAATGGATTTAAGGGAGTGTTTACATGGCCCCCCAGCCCCCACTCACCCTTTGGGGCCTGCTGTGTAAAGACTCCCTCTGCTGCTGTCGCCTCCTCCTCCAGCCTCCGGTGCAGGGGCTCTATCCCTCTGCCTGCCTCCACTTCGCAGAGGGGCTTCCCCCCATCTCTCTTCCTCTCCCTACTTCCCTCCATCCCCCCCCCCGCCAGCTGTTGTCAGGGCTGGGTAGCAGGGGGGTGCCGCCACCCTGACACCCCCTTTGCTCCTCTCCTTGGTTCCCTCCCTCCCTTCCTTCCTTCCCAACAACAGCTGCCACCTTGACCCCCCTCACATTTGCCTCCCCCCGCCCCATGCCTGCCCAGGCCCATGCACCTTCCCCACCGCCTCCCTGTTCCTGCCAGCTGTTGTTGGGTCCCCCTTCCCACTCCCCTCTCTCCTTCCCTCCCTCCCTGCCATCCGGCCCTGACAACAGCCACTACCATGACCCATCCTTTGCCTGCCCCTGCCCCTCTCCCCTCCCTGCCTGCTGCCTCCTCCTCCATGCTGGCTGTTTTGGGGGACGTCGGGGACAGGCAGTGAGGAGGCGCTGCTGCTGCGACCCCCCCCTTCACCTCCAGGCAGGGAGGCACGGGGAAGCTGCACTGCTCAGGTGGCTGGGGCGTGTTTGCTGCTGCCACAGCCTTCCCCAGCAGTGGCTCAAATTTGGGCCCGTGCAGCCCGGGCCCATGCAGCGAATCGCTGCCTGGCCTCTCGGCTGTGCACGAGCAGTTGGCCAAAAGCATTATGGACAGACAGACACACAGACAGACTAAGCCCTTTATATCTATAGAATACACTGCATCTAGCATATTTGTGTGTGTGTGTCCGTACATACACACACATATAAATATGTGCGTGTGTATGTGCATATGTATTTTATATATATACATACCCTAGATGCTGTATGTATATATAAACATGCATCCCCCATGTTTGGATATATGCGTATATATATGCACACACTATACATACATGCACACATATATAGAAATAGATATAGATATAGACATACACCCAAGTCTTCAGCTGACAATGAGGTTGTAGTTTAAATAGATATGACTGTAAATGGGTGAAAGGTAAAATAGTTCCAGAAATGTAATGTGACTTGTGTGGGATCACACAGCGCGGCAGTGGCAGAATAAGGGAGAGAAAAAAATAAAACCTGACTCTCCCAGGTCCCAAGTCTAGTGTCCAAGCTGCTTCTCTTTTGTGGGACAAAGACTCAACTCCCTAGTTTCTCTTAACATATGTTACACACATCCCTGGCCACCAATATATGAGACCTAGCAGAGTTCAAGCTGTGGCTTAACTAGGATAAGGTGACCAGGACAGTCCTGACTTGTCACGGGTGGGGGAGGATCGGGGGCAGGGGAAGGACAGGGAAAGGAAAACAGCTGCTGCTGCAACCACACCATCATGCTGGCAGTGGCACCCAGTTGTTGCTGCCGCCCCTGTGTGTAGCAGCTTCCCTGGGCATCCAGCCATTTCATGCTGTCTCTGAGTTAAGCATTTTGCTGTGCTCCACTTTTACAACGCGTCTCATCTGACCTTTGAGTAGGGTTTGAACCTAGACTCTTCTTTCTCTTGAACTAAAGGATTCTCCATTTTCTGTTCAAATCAGCAGCCTTTTGAATTGAATGTACAGTGGATTAGGTGACAAGTCCATAAACAAGGAGGAGTAATAACTTCCTATACCAAGCATGTAGACCAGCTATCAGCGTGGCTCAAGCACTCACAAGGCATAATATCATCTCAAAGCAGCGATTCTGGGACATTCAGTGAGAGATTGATACTGCACGAATTTCCCTATACCGAATTAGCATGCAGCTCCATTTCTCAGAGTGACGAGCATTTGTTAACTATATGGAACATAATAGCCAGGCTGTTTCCTTAGCAATTAGATATTCATATGTACTGTATTTCTTCAGTAACAATAAAAGCATTTAATAAAAAAAAAACCCTGTTATAAACACATTATTAAGTTACATTTTTATGGTTCTTGCAGTGGGGTAAATTATTCTTGCTTTATTACTGTGTTGTAAAGCTTGAAGTTTTTTTTTTTCCCCCTGACAGTTACTGCCTGCCAACAGCGGGCCAGGTCCACACTAAACAGCAGAGCTAAAAAGATACAAATTTCATGTCTTGGAGGGGGTTATTGATGCCTCTTCATAGCAGAGGAAAAGGGACCCAAGGCAGATCAAGCAGCCATCCATCCCTACAGTTTCTGCTCAGGGGGTAACTACTAAAAGTTACTTAAAAGTTACCTTTTAAGGCTATTGAAAGAAAGTGCTGAATGGATGTAGTTACTGGACAGTGTCTCTGATCAGTGTTGCTTCTTGGTGAATAGTGCTGGCCCTCTGTGATTCCTCATACTCATGAGATATTGTGGTCTGTACAAATCTGGTCTTTTGGGCTCTATTTCAGGTCAGCCTCTCATCACTGGGACCATTAATGGCTCTTTACCTGTATAATGAGCAGATAAAGATACTTCACCTGTGGACAGGTGCCATAAGGCTGTTAGAGCCTTAGGTGGGGGGCACATTTATTTTCATTATTCCAGGAAATTGTCCACTTCTTTGCAGACAAATTTTGTTCCAGATTTGCCCTCCCAATGCAAGTTAGAGCACTAACCATGCTTCAGGATTGTAAGAGCCCTAAGGACTTCTTAGGGTGACATGTTTTATTGGACCAACTATGTCCTTTGAATAAAGTTAGACAAGCTTTTTTGACTGCAAGACATTCCTTCATCAGGGCTCTCTGAGAGATCATCATAGCGGCTACAACATCACTTTTACACTACCATCAGAACTGCAAGTTAGTACATAAATTGTTGACTAAGGCTGCACTGTATAAAGATGCAACCCATCTTATATTAATAATCCCAGCATGTAAGTTAAGCCTCAGGAATAGGTCTCTTTTAGGACAATGGGCTTGAATTTCCTCTCACTCTGTAAGACTCAGCGGAGTCAAACAGATGTAGAAGTAATGTGTGCTTGAGAGAAAAAAGAAATCCTGTCCTGGACTTTAACAAGAATGCTTGGGTCTAATTTTTAGACTATAACACGCCTTCCTTGCATACACAGGCTTGTATCTGTAATTAACTGATAATCAGCTGCTTTGTCATTGTGTTCGACTGTTGTTTAATAGTATTGAGAGAAGAGATTGGAGCTGAATTCAGCCGTAGCGCTCATACTTTGGAGTGCCTGTCTCCGTGGAAGCTGATCTTCCAGGCAAGTTCACTTGTCTGGTGCTCCAAGCAATTTATGCACACAGCATTTGGCACTGGAACAGGAAATTAAGGGCTGTAGGAAAGCAACCTTTGGCCTTTAATTCACTTTTTTAATAAAATCATTAAAAGAAACTTACTCCCTGCCAGACATTATGGGAAATTGCCTTAATGATACTTTTAAGCAAAACACATTCTCTTGAATGCATACGCGCATGGCTCATTCAATAGCTTATTTATGTGTTTGCAAGAATGAAACTGGTTTGAATGTAAAGTCAGGGTAGATATAAGCCTAGCATGAAGCTGATAAAAGCTACTGGCCAGATTTGTGTATATTATGTTTCCCCAACACATCAAGAACAGTCTAGTGCCTTCTCTTTCAACACACAGGAACAGTCGAGGAAAGAGCCACAAAGAGCACGGTTTGGGCGTCTCTGCAGTGAGCTCTGAGGACAAAATAGCTGCAGTGTCCATGCACATGGAGAGTTCATAGAAGTCTAAATCTACAGGTTATAGGAATAACAAAAACCCCAACCCCACCAGCTCAATAGCTATAAACACCACACTGTGCTTCTTAATCAGACATAACTCCCACTGATTTCAGAGTATGGCCTTGTATTCACGGGTGCCTGAGCCTACAGCTGCATGATACTTTTCTATTTAATAGTTGTTAAATACCTTTTCTTTATGAGACATTTATGTCTTATAGTTCTCACATGCAGACTTTTTTCTTGAAACAAATCTTGTTAGATATGTGGAGACAGTAAAAACAGAGAGCGTGCACTGAAAATGGGCTCTTTAAAAAAAAAGGTCCCTTCACTAAAACCTAATATGGGCCAAATCCTTTGCTCATTTATAACTATGAGATTTAAGAAGGTCAGATAGGTGCGATTTAGAGCAGAATTTGCCTTTGCATGCTTCACATCTTAAGCATTTTGCACCAGGAGGAAAGATATGCACAAGCCAATCCAGTAGGCAGGGTCTACAATCTGTACATTTTAGGCTCAGCACGTGCAGAAGCTTTTAAGTATGTACGTTGTAAAAGTAAATTTACATCATATGTCAAACAGTACACACAGATGCAAAAACCAACATTGATTCTAGCCTGAAAAAGGGTACGTATCTCTATAAAATCAGCAAGCTGTGTCCTGAATACAGATGGTTGGGCATTTTCTGACAAAGCAGCTTTTGGCTGGAAAATGCAAATTCATTAAACCGGAAATGATTTGTGGAACTGTACCTGTTTCAAGGAATTTCTGATGAGAGTTTCCAGACTCTGTGGATTGAATTAGGGTCCTCAGATTGTCCAAAGCTGAAAACCAAACCCCAGCTAGAAGTCGGACTCTGAGGGCTTCCAGTGTCCCAGCTCCATAGCGTGGATGGAGCATGGGTCAGAGCATGGTACATAGGGAGAGACAGAGTGAGAATAATGACCCGTTGGTTTGCTTTACAGCTGTGGCATTTTCCTTGTGTAAGAGAATGCTAATCCTAGAAAACATGTGAAAAACAAGTCATTTCAGAGTGTTTTCCACTGTGTTTGCAGTGATACAGTCTATTTGGGTAGAGGACAACTCTTCTTTGGCCGGGTATGTTCTCATTCTGGCCTGAGCTCCCCAGAGTTGAGTAATGAAGAGGACACCACCTACTCCCTTAGGAAAGGAGTTTTGCAAAAAGGGCCCCGCGTACCTTTCTCATGGAAGAAACTCAGTGGAAAAACTCCACATGACAGATAATATATTTACAAAGTGAGCTCTTTGTCTCGCAGTTCATTAGATCATTAGAAATCTACTGGGTGGAGGCAACTGGTTGTAAGGCCAGGTCCTTAGCTGGTCTAAATCATCTCCCATTGAACACTAAAGATATGCACTGACATCATTGGACCATCTCTGATTTTTACCAGCTTGAGTATCTGGCGCTTCAAAAGTTTTCAGCCTGTGGCACCAACAGAGTCAAACATTTACAGTGTCCATTTTCTTGACAAATTGCATGAAGCACACTGCTCCAGCTGATAACACTAAAGCACTAGTTTCTTGGGGGCTGACTTCATGCTAACTGCAATCAGCAGTGGTCGGGGACCAAGGGACAGTGGTGTAATGAGAGGTGGGTGCCTGGGGCTCCAGCCATGAGTGCCTGTTTAGAAGGGGCAGAAAAACAACAGCCACTGCAACCAGCCCAGTCCCCACTGCTGCTGCCATTCAGGACAGACCCCTTGGTTGTTACGCCTCTGCCAAAGGACATCTGAAATTCCTACTTATCTGAATCTTAGATGCCTAAACTCCCTGACAAATCTGCCCCTCCATGTTTCCAGTCTCCATGGGTGAATGGGGTGATGCTAATTCTCCGAGTCTTTCGAAGTTCTGAGGACAACTGGATCAAGGACATGGAGATGCTCAAATACTGCAGTGATAGGGCCAAGTAAATAACAAAAATAAGTCTAAGATCCCAGTCTAATGTGTCTGCTTAAGTCAATGAGACTCTGCACAAACTCAGTGCTAAGCAAGTGCATAACTATTTGCAGGATCAGAGCCAAGGAGACTAATTTTAACCACCCAGGTTGGAAAATGTTGGCCTTGAGGGTAGTTCATTAACAACGCTGATTAAGCTAATCTGAACAGATACGTCTTTATCCTAGGTGTCCAGAAGGGAATGTTTTTAAATGTAAACAGATAACGGGATACATCTCTTTTAAAGTAGGGGCAGGAATGTTCCTCCCATTCATCACTGAAAATATCAAATCCTTGCTCTCTATAAGCCATTTTCAGATAGTCCCCTAAATGAGAGCAAGCTTTGGATCACACTCTTTGTCTCTTTACTCATTTTATTTCTTTCATGGTGTCCAGTTCATACATATACATATACATATACATATACATATACATATACATATACATATACATATACGTGTGTGTGGGGGGTGTATAGCACAAGAAGTAAAAAGATATTAATAGGCCCATTTCTCATTTGTCTTCCTTACATTACTTTGGAAGTAAAAAATGCCCCTAAAAGTAAGAATAACTGTTGTTTGCACCAACTTGATCCTATCAGAACATTCAAAAAGTTCCTAGTATGAATAAAACCCTCAAAAATAAATAATATAAATGATGCAATACACCTAAACCAATTCCCCCAAACCACTGTATTCACCCCTAGTTGAAAAGAGCAGATGAAAAAAATTACACAGAACAACTGGCTGGAAATAAGAGGCTAAGATGAAGAATCCAGATGTGAAAAATATCAATGTTTTTTTCTTAGTTATACAAGTTGAACCATATTTTCCTTATAAAACTAGTGGATGAAATACCCAGGTCTCTCCATGAGAGAAAATTTCAGCAACATATGAACAAGAGAGAGATACATGTCTAAGTGCGGGTTATGTTGTCCTGCTATTAACCACTAAATGTGTAGCATACAGAAAATCCAATAAATAGACGTATAACATGAGACTATCATTATTATTAATGATAATATATCATTATTAATCTATCAGACTACTTATTCAGATTTTTTTTAAGCAATCATGTCCATGTGCTCTCTCTTATACACTGTAGTAGGACCACGACCCAGGCATGACATTGTTGCCCCGTGGCCAGATGGCCACTGCTACAACCTGATTCTGGGTACCCTCCCCTCAGCTCTTACATGCTATGTGCCTTGATGTAATTGTTAATTTATGAAAGGGAAGGGGGCTGTAAGTCCTAGAACCAGTCCTTATCCTTTGTCAGCAGTCCTTATTGTGGCCCCCTCCAGGACTCCACTAGCCCGAACCTAGTCTGTCCATAGCTGGGCTCTTACAGTCCGTACATGCCTTGAGGCACCTGTTGCCTTAGGGGCTTATTAAGTGGCTCCAATCACCCTTTACACCAGGGGTTTTCAACCTTTTTTAACAAGTGTACCCCTTCTAGTAGCAGTGGCCAGAGGCGGGAGGGGATGGGGCTCATGCATGGCCACCGCTGCCACCACCCAACGCCCCGTGCCACCGCTACCCACCACCCTGCTACCACCCCTGTGCCCCATTTCCCAGTTGCATGGGTGGCTCTGTGGGTTGCTGATGAGTGGCATGTGATAGGCTGCGCATGCACTGCTCATCAGTGTCCTGTGGAGCTGCACATGCAACTGGCCATGGGAAAGTGGTGCACAGCGGTGACACGGGGTAGTGGGTGGCGGCAGCGGTGGCCATCCGCAGAGGAGCACCACTGCCTTCACTCCCCACCCCCTGCTCCTGGGAATGGGCACGGAAACACACTCCCCCCCATCATTCAGACCCTTTGCGCCTTGCTGCCTTCATGGCTCTGCAGGCAGGGGGTGCCTGTGGCACCTCCTCGCCATTGGCTATTGGCTGAAGGTGATGGCCAGGCTAGAAGAGCGAGCTGGGGTAGGGGGCAGGGTGGCACCATGGTGTGCTGCATGGGGCCAGCAGTGCACAGTGCATCCCTCCCCTGGGTACAAGGTGATGTGTGGGAATGCACCGGGGGGAGATGCCGCTGCCACGCCCAGGGCATGCTCCATTCCTGCCTACCCACGCATACCCCCTAGGACAGTGGTCTTCAAACTTTTTATGGTGAAGATCACTTTTTGGAACTAAAGGTTACCCCAGGATCTACTGGGTGTACCTCCCCAACCCCCAACCCCTGTCCCACATACCACTGGACTGTGGAGTGTCCCAGAGCCAGCTGGGCCAGGACCCAATCCCACTTCTGCGCTGCGGCTGCACAGAGCCATGCCTGCCTGGCAGCCAGATAAGTGTAGCATTGGGCCCTGGCCCGGCCAGGTCTGGAAGTCTCTACAGTCCAGGGGCACATGAGGGGGTGCGACTCATGCCACTGGGCACAGCCTGGCAAAGGCCCCAGGGCCCATGCCCCCCCCCACCTGTGCTTGGGACGAGGCAGCTGTTGCTGCAGGCTGCCACTGTGCCCCAAACACAGGTCCACTGGCCTGTGCTCAGTGGCACAAGCCCCCTGCACACGTGCCCCTGGACGACCAGATCTTCCCAGACCTGGCTTGGTCGCAGCCACCCCCACATGAGTCCTCACTCCTGAGCTGAGCCATGCCTGCATGTGACTCAAGGTGCAGTGGCAGCAGCCTCTGCCACCTCCACCCCCACAGAGATGAGGAGGGAGCCCCCCCACACCCCCGGGAGGAGCCCCCCTGGGCTCCAATCCTCCCACCACCTGGCTGGGCTGGGGCCTCATTTACCTTCCCCTGCTCCTGGCTGGGCAGCACAGTGAGCTGCTCACTGTGGGAACCTTGACCTGGCCCCCATCTCTTCTCTCCCCCACACATTGACCTGCTAGGGCTGGGGGCGGTGGGTGTGCACATGTGTGCATGCCCAGCTGTCCCCCCAGCACAGGATCTACCAAAACAGGATCTGGGATCTACCTGTAGATCAGGATCTCCAGGTTGGTGACCACTGCCCTAGGACTTTTCTTAGTATTGCTGGGGGTACGCATACCCGTGGTTGACAACCTCTGCTAAGGCCTTGCACAAGTTACCAATTAATGACTTCAGTGGGCACTTGGCCCCAATCCAGTACCATGCCACCTTAGGCTTTTATGGTTTTGTCAGCTCAGCCTTCCTGGCCTCAGCTGGTTCTTTTCTCTTGCTGGTTCCCTTAGCCTAGGCCCACTGTGCTGGACCTGACTTTTGGGCCGTAGTCTGAATCTTGCCCTCTCAGGTTGTGCCCTGCTTGGGGTATAGGCCACTGGTCCTGATCTGGGGCTGTCTCTGCTCTGCCTTGGGCACTGAGCCTACTCTGGCTCTGTCTGGGCCCCTGGCCCTGGTCTTGTCCTCTAGGGCTTTTTCTGCCCTACCTGGGGCACTGAGCCACCTGGCCCTTGTCCAGCTCCAATCCAAGTTAGACTTTAGCTTTTCTTTATCTTTCTTTAGGCTTGGCTCACACTCTCAGGTCTAAGGTCCAAATCAAGGCCCCTAGCAGGGCTCTAAACACTGGTGTGCCCCTGGGACTCCACTGTGGGTTAAACCCCCAGGCACCCCAAGACATTCTGCCATGACCTCTGCTCACTCCCCTACCAGCCAATCGCAAACCACCGGTTTGCAACTTACTGGCTGTAACATAAACTTAACCTGCTCCAGGCATTGCAAATGATCACAAGAGCCCTTAGTCTTGCAGCAAGGCTTCCCCTTATCTGGGCTGTGTCCCTTCATGAGGCACCGGTATTATATTGGCATTCCTTAGAGTGGTGCTGAAGTCAACCTGGCATCCCCTTGCAGTCTTCAGGGCCAGGAGCTCTTCATCCCTTGGCTTGTTGGGTTAGACTCCTCTGGCTTGGCTGAGCCTTGGGCTTATATGCCACTCAAGCCCTGTCCACATTTGGTCAGTTGTCTGATTAGCTGGCCTGCCCACAGTGCTGTTTATTAGCTCCAGACTTGCCAGCTGCTTTCAATTCACAAAAACTCTTCCTTTAAAGGGCTTGTTCCATTGTTCTGTAACAGGGTAATGGTTCCCTGTTACACACACACACACACACACA